CAGTTCTTCTTTCCCTCCCCTCCCTTCTAGACCTTTATTTTCAGGTGTTTTCAAATATCTCTTTAAGGGGGAAGGTAGAGGAGAAGCAAACTGAAGGCCCTGATTGTTTCTGTCCCCCTTATATAGAGTTTCCATAAGTCAGGAATTCCTTGTTTGAGTCCCCATATCCCAGTGGAAAAGTGCAGCAGTCCAAAATAGTAGTTAGTATCAGGTGACCAGGCCAGCTGACTCTGTAGTGTCGCAGTGTCCATGAATCAGTGACAATATGGAGCATTCATAAGAAGGCCATGCCTTTTCACAATATCCTCACTGAGGAGCCATCATCCCAGTCTGATTCTTCATTCTAGTGCTTAAAGTGTTAGCAGGGCATGTCACCCAAAGTGGCATATATGAAATACAGACACATGGTCAATATTCCTAGCTTCAGATACAGAAATGATACAGGTATACACATTGGATAATTACGTTCAGTAAATTGTAATCTTTCTAATGGTATCTTACAAGAGCCGTCTTGCATAAAGTACATCTCAATTGTATTATATCCATATCATTAGCATATTTTCATAAAGAATATGGAGTATAACATCATTCTTACAACATGAGGGTGATGTTTGGATTGCTATATACCATGTCCTCCAATTTATTGTACTTAATGTTCATATTTATTTATTTTCTTGTTTTATTTTTAAGAGGACGAGAAGCAAGAAAAAGATAAACCTGAAGAAAGTACCACAGAGGAAGAATCAGATAATGAAAATGATGACCGAAGCCTTGGAAACACAACTGATGTGCTAAATATGGTAAAATATCCACTACTGAAATTGTGGCTTAGCAATCATCATTTTGAGGGAGAACATAACATTTTTTGTATTATAGCTGTAATAAGAGTAGTCACCATACCTTGGTACCCCCAGGTTCTAGAGCTCCCTTTATGCCAGCACAGACACCATTCTGGGGCATATGTTACTTCAAGGCCCATAATCTCTTTATGTCCTGGACAGTGTTCCCTCTAAGCTGTGTGCGTGGGTGACCGCACAGAAGAGATTCAAAGGTCACCCTGCTGATTAGCAGAATGCCTACAGTCAGCAAAATGTGTTTTTTCTGGTGGTGCACATCCGCACATGCCTTGTTGCACATAACAATTATTCTGTACACTGCTGGAAAAAAATAAGAGGAACATTAGTCCTGGACATTTTTGAGCTAGTAGACTCCATCTCCTTGTTTTTCCTCCTCAGAGGATATAGGTCCTTTTATGTATAGATAATTAGCACTTGTTTCTTGAATATTAATATCCACATTATAATTGTATTTAAACCAGATGTTATTCATTTAAGACATAGAAGAAAAAAAAACAAAAAACAAAATGGTAACATCAACTTTATACTCATCTAAGCAAGAATTGCACAGAACCCTGCTAAAATTGCACCTCTTGATTTTTCATTAATTCATGATTGGAGCCTGTCATAGGGCACAGCTCTCATAGCCGAACAGGTGATTCCTGTAGGTCATGCTGGGGATTAGCTTGAGGTCAGCACACATATCCATAATTTGCATGCTGGCACTCTGTCTCTGCTTTCATCTACGGCTCCTCTCTTGGCTTTCAGCACCACAATGCCCTCTTTTCAACTCATCCCTCTGGCTGTGTCACCTTCTTGTGGTGTGTGTATCTCTGTGTAACAGTCCAGCTGCTTGCCCAGTCCTGCCCACTACTCTGGGTCCCAATCCAGGAACACAGTAAATAGCAGCCTCTAGCTACTCTTCTGTTATCTCTATTGGTGCTGCTCTATTTCTGTGGGCCACTTTCTTATGGCCCCCGCACATTCATCACCCTCATCTCAGGGCATTCAGCTGCTCAGTCCCAGTAGTCAGCCACTGCTCTGTCCAAAGTGCTTACAGTTGTCTCAGCCCTCCAGGGATGCAGTTCTTATTTCCTGGGCTCCCATCAGCAACTCTCTACTCTGCCCTGCTGTTCCCTTTTATCTGAGCCTACTGTGGCTGGATTGGTTGCTTTCTGAAACTCCTGCATGATTGGCTGCACTTTGTGCAGCTTCTCTGGGTGGCTCAGAGGATTTATTCCACTGCTGTCTCTAGGATGGAGCCTAGTTAACCCCTTCTGTGCCTGTCTGAGGTAGGCAGGAATCCCATCACTGTGCCCATTAGGCCGTTGTTTTTACATCTATCTGAAAAATTGTGTGTGTCTGATGACAGGATGAAACTGTCCCATAGTCGATGAATCATTGTGCTTGTTCAGACACCCGTACCAGGTCAAGACATCTAACATCCATGTTTTACCAGGACAGTTTTGGTTTTTCATAGAATCATAGAATCCTAGGCTGGAAGAGACCTCAGGAGGTCATCGAGTCCAGCCTCCTGCCCAAAGCAGGATTAATCCTAACTAAATCATCCCAGTCAGGGCTTTGTTAGTCCAGGACTTTAAAACCTCTAGGGATGGAGATTCCACCACCTCACTAAGTAACCCATTCCAGTGCTTCACCACCCTCTTAATGAAAAAGTTTTTCCTAATATCCAACCAAGACCTGCCCCACTTCATTTTGAGATCATTGCTCCTTATTCTGCATCCATCACTATTGAGAACAGCCTTTCTTCATCCTCTTTGGATCTCCCTTCAGGAAGTTGAAAGATGCTATCAAATCCCCCCCTTGCTCTTCTGCAGACTAAATAAGCCCAAATCCCTCAGCCTCTCCTCGAGGGTCATGTGCTCTAGCCCCCTAATCATTTTGGTTGTCCTCCACTGGACCCTGTCCAGTGCATTCACATCCTTTCTATAGTGGGGCAGCCCAGAACTGGACGCAGTACTCTAAATGTGGCATCACCAGTGCCGAATAAAGGAAAATAATAACTTCTCTAGATCGGCTGGAAATGCTCCTCCTAATTCACCCTAATATGCCATTAGCCTTCTTGGCTACCAGGGCACACTCTAGACTCATATCCAGCTTCTCATCTGCTGTAATCTCCAGATCCTTTTCTGCTGAACTGCTACTTAGCCAGTTGGTCCCCAGCCTCTAACAATACTTGGGGTTCTTCCATCCCAAGTACAGGACTCTGCACTTATTCTTGTTGAACCCCATCACATTTGTTTTGGCCTAATCCTCCAATTTGTCTAGGTCACTGTGGACCCTATCCCTTCCCTCCAATGTATCTACCTCTTCCCCCTAGTTTAGTGTCATCCGCAAACTTGATGAGAGTGCAATCCATCCCCTCATACAGGTTATTAATAAAGATGTTGAACAAAACCGGCCCAACAACCAATCCTTGGGGCACTCCACTTGAAACCGACCACCAGTCAGACATCGAGCCATTGATCACAACTGTTGGGCCCAACAATCTAGGCAGCTTTCTATCAGCCTTACAGTCCATTTATCCAATCCATATTCCCTTAACTTGCTGGCAAGAATATTGTGGGAGACCATATCAAAGTTTTGCTAAAGTCAAGTTATCACGTCCACTGACTTCCCCATGTCCACAGAGCCCGTTAACTCATCATAGAAGCTAATCAGATTGCTCAGGCATGACTTGCCCTTCGTGAATCCATGTTGACTATTCCTGATCACCTTTCCCTCTTCCAAGTGCTTCCAAATAGATTCTTTGAGGATCCCCTCCATGATTTTTCCGGGGACTGAGGTAAGGCTGACTGGTCTGTAGTCCCCTGGATTGTCCTTCTTCCCTTTTTTAAAGATGGGCATTACATTTGCCTTTTTCCAGTTGTCCGGGACCTCTCCTGATCTCCATGAGTTTTCAAAGATAATGGCCAAAGACTCCTCAATGACATTTGCCAACTCCCTGAGTACCTTCAATCTGGACCTGTGGATTTGTGTATGTTTTAGTTTTTCTAAATACAGTAAATACAGTAAACTTCCGATAATCCGGCACCTTTGGGACCCAGAGGGTGCCGGATTATCAGATATGCCGGAGTTTCAGGAGGTACTCTGGAAGGGGGCTGTAAGAGGTATGGGGGGGGGGTCGGCGGGGAATGGCGCAGCATGGGGTGAACCCTCCATCGTTATGCAGGGAAGTGGGGGAAGCCCCGTGCAGCTGCCGGTGACAGGCCAGCTGGGGCTGCAAGCGGCAGTGGCGTCTTGGGGAAGCCGTGGGGCAGAGCAGCTGGTGTGCTGCTGGGTTGGTCCTGCAGTGCTGCTCAGGTGAGGGGCGGCGCTGCGGGACCAACCTGGCAGCACCCCAGCTGCTGTGCCTCCGGCTTCCCCAAGTCCGCCAATGCTGAAACATATGAGTGGCGGACTTGGAGAAGCCGGGGGCAGAGCAGCTGGGGTGCTGCCGGGGTGGTCCCACAGCGCCGCCCCTCACCCTCCCGCTCGGTGCCCGTTTTGTACATAGTCCTGATCATAGGGTGAGGTGTTAGTTACTGCCATTCAGTTGGAGAGTGATCTGGTTACAGCAGTGAGAACTGCTTCCTTTTTGGAAGAGAACTGATTGTGAATGAGAGAAACTGAGGATTCCCCCTCCCCTTTTGTATTTAAGTAAAAAGGTACTACACCACTAGTGAGAACTCTGTGATGCATGGACGATGGATCCAAAGTATATTTGTAGATGGTTACCTGCTGCTTCATGAAAAGCTGAATTATTTGCTAAAAATGATAATTATGCAGTCTTTACATTATTTTTTCACAAGCTGTGTGCATTCTGGTATTAAGATGTTCACATATTTCCATGATACCGTGCAATAGCTGTTTTGGACCCTGAAACGGCCTTGTTTCCCCTAGACGGTTTTCTCAAAACTGTAGCAGGACACTTGGAAATAGGATAAATGCAGAGGTTAATTTAGTAAACATCATTTTTGGAAACTGCAACTTTTCTCTTAAATCAAAACACATCTTTCCTTGACTCAGCAGTTTCTTCAGATCCTTGTTGGTCTCGACAGTTCATTAGAAAAAACCAGGTATTGCTGCCTGGCATTTCCTCATGCCTTTTCTTTTTAAAGATTCTGCCCCTTCCCCTGTTTGCATCCAGCTCCACTCAGTAGCTAGTGTGGAGAGACCCTCCTCTAGTGGTCTTTGAGCTTTTATCTCATACAGGACTATTTTGCCCCTTGCAAGGTCTCTCTTAACTGAACTCCTTCCTGGCCTTTTAGCTGAGAACAAGGCAACTTGCAGCCTCTCACCTGATCCCGACCTTCAAACTGTTCTTTTGGGAAGCAACTAATGAGTCTGAGGTAATACCAAGTCCTCATCTTCCCATAAAGGTCCATACAACCCTGTGACATGCTGTACATTTCAGCGTAGATGCAAAAATTAAGCTCCATATAGTGAAGATCTGCAGCATGAAACAAGCAGGTTCATTTTGGTAACTGAGCACAAGAATCTTTGGTTAAATGTTAAGAACATTTGGCCTACTAAGGTCTCCATTCCATTGAAAGGTATTATCTCAAAAATTGTTATCTTACTACTGTCACTAAGAACTCTAAGGGTACGTCTAGATTACACGCCTCTTCTGACAGAGGCATGTAAAATAGGCTACGCGACATAGTCAGTGAAGCAGGGATTTAAATATCCTTGGCTTCATTAAAATAAAAATGGCCGCCACGCTGTGCCGGCTCAACTGATCGTTGGCACAGCGCGTGAGTCAAGACGCGGATCGGTCGACAAGGGAAGCCTTTGTCAACCGCTCCTGAAAACCTCGTTTCACGAGCCTATCCGCGTTTTGACTGTGCCGATGATCAGCTGAGCCAGCACAGCGCAGCGGCCATTTTTATTTTAATGAAGCCGGGATATTTAAATCCCTGCTTCATTGACTATGTTGGGTAGCCTATTTTACATGCATCTGTCAGCGGAGGCGTGTAATCTAGATGTACCCCAATAGTGTGATGGTATAAGCTCTCACAGATCAATCTTTAGTGTGTGTGTGTGTGTGTGTGTGTGTGTGTGTGTGTGTGTGTGTGTGTGTTTGAATGATTGCTAAATTAATATACTATTCTGTAGTTTTTAGACCATATCGGATTTGAATAATTCTAGGCCAAGATTTTAACAAGTGTATGTCTGAAATTAGGCTCCTAAATCTGTATTTAGCCACATAAGACAGTGGTCTGGATTTTCAAACATGCTTAGCATGCAGAAATTCACAGTGAAAAACAGTGAGAGCTGTGGGGTGCTCAAGACATTTACTATTATGCAACTGATTTAGAAGTCTATATTTAGGCACTTCCGTTTTAATACAAAAAAAAGTACCCCCTTGTCATAGGATCATGGAATGAGCACAATCTGAATATACTAGAGACCACTTAAATGTGATCCTGTAGCGTATTATTTTTAAATGGTGTGAAGGATTCAATTTATATAATTTAACAATAGACTACATTTCTTCACATCAGTTTCAATTGCCATTTAATAGTGAGACTTAATGTTTGGGAAATACTTAAGCTCCTTTGAAGAAATATATTAAATGTAAATAAGGAATTATTCTTATTCAGTTCAATTTTTAATTAATTTATAATTCATTCTTTAATTTTGTCCTCATTCTTTTCAGACACATGTGATGAGACTGAATCCCAGTGACCAATCCTTAAAATTATCACCAGTTCAAAAGCAAAAGGTATTGTAATTAATCATTTATGACATTTAGAAAATGTATATTTCTTTTTGTAGGGTATCATCTTTCTTTTCTCTTTTTTGCTCCTAATTCTTATACAGTAGACTGCAATTTCCTACATTAGACTACTTCCTACATTAAACTTTTAGTCCTGGATCTTGCAAGCAGTTTCACTGGGTAAAACCCCGAGCTTGCAAGGAGGCCTTTGAAATCATTGGATTCTCTATAGATGCAGGGATCTGTCTGCTTGGAGCAGTTTGAGATAAAACATTATAATATTACTGCAAATGAAGGAGCAGTATACTGTAACTTAAATTATATATTTTGTAATGTATAATAAAGATAACTTGCCATTTACTTAATTAACTGCTAGAATATTTGGATTAAAATCCGGGTAAAATATATGCAAAATAACCAGGTTTACAAAACGTATGTAAATTTACAGTGAAATTTAATGATTCACAGCACAATAATACTTTATCCATTATAAAGTTGAGACTTTTGTATTACCTACAACATTAATTTTAAAGTAATAAGAGAATTTTGATATTACATTGATTATATCAATATCAGCTCATAATTTTATGTTTCAAAATTGATTACACAAAATATGGTTGGTAAATTGAGTATATAAAAAAGAAAATTTTAAATTTAAGCCAAAAAAGCAAAGGTAATTTTAGTCCATTGTAAATACACTGATCATGGAATAGGTACAGTACATTTAATCTAATCAAGAAGTAAATTTTATTTGGAATGTCCCACATTTTATGCCTTTTTTTAGTCCTATCAGACAAATCTTTTCTTAATCAAATGTGCCATGTAGTTCTTTCCTTTTGCTCTCATTTAATTTGTTCTTAATACTTTCCTTCTTTCTTTTTAATTTTCTGCTTCTCATGTGGAATAGAAGAACAATAAAAATGTGAAACTGAAAAATGATGGTAAGGGTGGGCTGAAAAAGACTGCTCTTAATTTAATGCAGGAGGGTACAGAATCAACTGATAGTTCTTTGCAAAAGCAATTTTTAAATTCATTGTCTCTTGGAAAGGGTTCGGATTTAGAAAACAATGGTAATGATGCCTTTGCGGAAAAAATTAAGGCTGATAAAAAGCATATAAAAGGTAAACTAGAACCAGCACGCACTATTGGCAAACTGAAGTCTGATGTTCAGCAAACTATTAAGCATCACATCAAATCAGTGAAAGGGAAGAAAGATTATGCAGAAAATCTTAATCCTAGTAAACAAGACACATTTTATGGTCTTCCCAGTGATAAAACTGAAAAATCAAAAAAAGCTATTAGATCTAAGCAAATCCCTGAAACAGATACACTGCCTTCTTCAGCCTGTTACAAACCAGTGACCATTTCAGTAACTGCACAAAAATCTGTTAAACACCAAGAAAATAAAAGAGGAGTGTATGAAGTTAGGACATCTGATAAATATGGGAAAATATGTGTCAGAGGCGAAGAAAGTAATGAAGAACAGAGAGAATTAAAGAAAAAGGAGAAATTCATTAAGCAATTAGCAGTAACTGGGTCATCATCTTCAAGTGACGAAAGTAGTAAAGATTTTGCAAAATACGTACATCAGAGGAGAAAAAACCACAAGAATAGATATAAAGATATAGGAATACAGAAGGAAATAGAAGCCATTAAAAATATGAATTATTTAGAAGAAAAAGATAATGAAACTGAAGACGAGCAAGATACAAATAAACAGAGAGAGAGTGAGGAAGAAACCAGTATAAAAAGCCCGAGTGAAGACAAAACAAAAGTGAAGAGGTTTGGTTGTAAGTTTGTTGAGGCCCCACAGCTAGATGCTAAAAAGGAAGATTTTAATCAGGAGCAGAGGAGCGAAGAAAGTGAAATGGGAATGAAAGAGGATGAAAGTGAAAAGGAGAAACAGGATGAAAAAGCTAACAGTGAAGAAGAATCTGGAGTGGGAGAAGATGAAAAGGAGGCTAGAAAAGATGAAATCTCAACAGTGAGAGATGGTGATGAAGAGGAGAAATGTAATGGAGAAGAAAGTGAGGAAGCTGAATCACAGTATGAAGTGGAAGATGATTGTGAGAAAAGGACAAAAGCAGAAGGGAATCATCATAGAAGAGGCACAGAGGAGAGAAATCAAGAGGGTTATTTTAAAAAGGGTAAGGGAGAAGAGGAGAAAGATGAAGAGAAGGTAGAAGAAAGGAAGGATAAATATAGGGAGGAGCAGTGTGAAGACACAGAAATGGAGACTGAGAATGAGGATGGAAAGGAAGATGAGGAGGAAGAAGAAGATAGTAAAAGTGAAGAAGAGGAAGGTGAAGGGGAGGAAGAAGAGGCAAAGAGGGAGGATGAAGAAGAGAGGAAAGGGGATGATGAAGAAGAGGGGGAGAAATGGGAAGATGAAGTGGAGAAAGATGAAGATGAGGAAGAGGGGGAGGAAGGGGAGGAGGAGGTGGAAGGGGAGGAGGAAGATGAAGGGGAAGAAAGGGAGGTGGAAGCTGAAGATGAGGGGGAGACGGAAGCTGAAGCTGAAGATGAGGGGGAAGAAAGGGAGGCGGAAGCTGAAGATGAGGGGGAGGCGGAAGCTGAAGATGAAGGGGAGGCGGAAGCTGAAGATGAGGGAGAAGATGAGGGGGAAGAGGAAACTGAAGATGAGGGGGAGGCAGAAGCTGAAGATGAGGGAGAAGATGAGGGGGAAGAGGAAACTGAAGATGAGGGGGAGGAGGAAGCTGAATCTGAAGATGAGGGGGAAGATGAAGATGAGGAGGAAGATGAAGATGAGGAAGAGAAAAATGTTGGGGGAAAAAATAAAGAAAATAAGCACCTGCAAAGGCATAATGGAAACAGAAAGCAGGAGAAGAAAGAAAGTACTGTACAAAGCTCTAAACAGAAAGTAAAGTCTAAACAACATGTGAATGGATTACACAATTCAGAACAATTCTGGAACAATGTGCTACCTCATTATTTGACACTAAAATAATGTAGAATGTTGGAGGTTTACTTCTAATGGATTCATTCAAGATATTGTGCTATAAAGTTTATTTTGCTATAACACTTTTTAACAGTGATTTTTTTAAAAATAAAAGTCACGATAAATGTATTATATTAACATCAAGTGCCAGTTTCCTAAAGGACTAAAGACAGCGTTAAGACTTTGGTAACTTTATCAGATCAAACTATTAGAGATAAATTCTGGTGAAATTGCTCATGTCTTTACTGTGCACAACCCTATTAAAAATGCAGAAAGTGATTCCCTAGGAGACAAAGAATTTGTTTGACACTTTTTTTCATAACTTTAGGATGATTATATGAATTATGTGTTTGTATTAATGTAATTTTCATTGCTTTTGTAATCAAATTTCTGAAGCTGAAACATTTAGTTTTGATTAGGAGTGACTAATATGTTGATGTGCCTTACATAAATATAATATCAATAAATCATACACATTCAGTTTTGAGAAATGTAAAACTACAAGTGTTCCCTCTAGTTATTTATGTCCATGTGCAGATTGACTTTTGTGTGCACCAATATGGAGATGACACATCACATAAAAAAAAAGTTATTCCACACATGGACATGTGTGCCAGGGGTTGGGACTAAGGGGTTAGTAAGCCTCACAAGTCACATTGGCCAGGGACCAGTCATTGGAATTACGCAGCTGGTGTTCAGGGCTGACGCAGCATACGGAGTCCCATGGTTCCCATGCCTAGAAGCCAGACCTGCTGTGCTGGCTTCTTCACCTCCAACCCCAGCACAGAGGTGCCCCAGCACACTCTACCTCAGGTAACAAAGGATTGGGAATTTGAATCACTAAGGTCTTGATCCTGCACACATGCAAATACTTAACTTTACTGCCATGAATAATCCCAAGTGGGTCTACTCACAGTACTAAAGTTAAGTATGTGTGTAAGTGTTTGCAGGATTGGGACCTAAGTGATGAAAGGGAGCTATAGTAAGCCAAGAATCTAGATTAAATAGAATGGAAATTGGCATAAAAGATCTAGACAGCTGAAGAGAGAACTGTTTTTAATTTCTAAAAGGTTTAGTGTTCCCTTAAATTCTAAATAACCTACATTCTCTTTTTTTAAATTTTCTAAACTCTTGTCAAATAATGTGTGGATTTGCACTATTTCTATAATGGCATATCTAGTGAGGGAAGGGGGTAATTTTTTGTCATCCAGCATTTTCCTTAATACAGTAAAACTCCCAATAGTCCGGCATCCAATAGTCCAGCACTCCTGATAGTCCGGCATCAAAATGGCAAGAGCCTAGTGAGTGAGCTTTGGCAAAAAATGAGTCACAAGGTAATAGCGGCATCAGCTGAACTAAGCAAAAAGGGTAAAAAAGGCTTTAAAAAACTAAAACATTACAGTATACTGTATACAGTATGTACAATAAAAAGGGTTAAGAACACTTTATATACAGTATATAATGTATACAGTGTGTATATATATAACCAGTT